AGTCTTTCCCCCCCAAGATGGGATGGGGTAGAGAGTTACTCATGCAGCTGAATGAACTCAAGGACCAAATAAGATAATGATTGAAAAAATACTCTTTGGATTTAGTGTGATGGAAGTTAGTGATGACCTTAGTAAGATTAGGCAGTGGAAGAGGATTGTTAAGAGAGAAAGGAAAAAAAGAAAATTGTATCAAGATAAGATGTTAGGGAAATGTATATATGAAAGAATTGTTGAAAAAGAAAATTATATCAAGATAAGATGTTAGGGAAATGTATATATGAAAGAATTGTTGGCTGGAGAAGAAAGTAAAAGCAAAGGAAAGCTTTTGTCTATTTTAAGATAGGAAGCTTTAAATAGTGAAGCTTCTAGAGTAGAGGGAGAAGCTGAAGATAATGCAGAGGAGGTCAAAATTTCTAGAAGGGTCTGAGCAAATGAAGGATTAAGGATAGGCAGAAGAACTGACCCTTGTGGGGAATGAAGAAACTCCTCCACTGTCTGGCATTAAAGTACATCAATATCTTCAGATTTAAGAGCAATTTTAGATGTTATGTGAAGGTGAGGTAGGCATACGCTCTCCAAAAAATAATATCAGAGAACAATTTCCTTATTTTACATTTTAATTCTAAAAATAATTCTTATTTATTTATTTTTTTTGGAGAGGTTTTTGCTATAGGGTGCGTGTGCTTGCCAGAAAGACAGAGAGACAGAAAGCGAGAAATCACCCCCCAGGGGGGATGGCCACGCCTGCAATCCCTTCTCCTCCATTCTCCTCTTGGGATCTTGGGCACGCACGCACATGCGCCCGGCGTGAGTTTTAAGCCACCGGGTCTGGGACGCGAACCACGGTTGACTACATGGGAGTCCAGAGACATAGCCATTATGCTAACTGCTGGTCCCTCTAAAATTAATTCTTTAGACTAAATAGAAACAACTTTAGAATAAAACAAAATTTCAAGGGCAAGAATACTGCTCTAGGGGTTAAACAAGTCAGATTCCACCTGGCTGACTACATAGTTCAAGACCTACCCCTGGCAGCTTGAAAACTAGGGCCTCTGTGTGCATGGGTACCCAGAAGTCTGACGGGATAGAGAAATAGAAGTAATGTGACCACAGTCCATTGGGAGGGATGTTTTTCCCCTTTACCCCTCTTTCTCTGTGGAGAGTACACAGTCCCTCTAGCAAATTTTAAAAAAAGAATTTTTAAGAAAATGACATAAATATTCATGAATAGGTATGTGAGTGTATACGTATAGATATATGTATGCATAGTTACATGAATGTTCTGATAGCCAAACAATGGAAATCTAAGTGGATGTAACCTATTTAGAGTTTTTAAATAGTTTCTAATGCATTTATCTATAAATTTCAAAAATTTTTTGGTAAATGGTTATTTAAACGATTGAATATTATTGCCACAAGGTTGTTAGTAGAAGGCAACTGCACCTTCCTAATACTTTTTTTTTTAAGATTTATTTATTTATTTATTTATTTATTTATTTATTTATAATTTGACCAGAGAGGGACAGAGTGGGGGGAGGTAAGAAAGCAAGCTGCCAGGACTGGGACTTGAACTGTGGTTGACCATGTGGGAGTCCAGCACACTTAACCACCATAAATAGTGTCATGGATCTTGAGATAATTATAATAAAACTGTAACATAATTTTCAAACACCTTTCCTTGCACACAGAAGATAAAATTCAAGATATGTTTGTGAACTTACACAAGCCATATAGTTTTGGTTGAAATTATGAGTGGCATACAAACAGGAAATGCAGTTGTGCAAAACAACTAATCAGACATGTACAATTTTTAAATACTGTATATTATAGGCCCCTATCATAAAAACGCCAAGGGACATGATTCAAATGCAAAAGAATTCAGCAAATTAAGAAAGTGGAAACGAACAGAATAGTTGCACTATCTACCACTGCCTCTTGAACACAATCATCAGTCAATATGCTGATGACGCAACATTCGCCTGATCATTAATAAGTCTATTTTTATTCATAATTTGGATTCTGTCTCTAAAGTTTTTTTTTTTTTTCTTGGAAAGATTTTCGCTATAGGGCGCGTGCACTCGCCAGACAGACAGAGAGAGAGACATAGAGACAGAAAGCAAGAAATCACCCCCCAGGGGGGATGGTCACACCGCAATCCCTTCTCTTCCATTCTCCTCTCGGGATCTTGGGCACACACGCACACGCACCCGGCGTGAGTTTTAAGCCACTGGGTCCGGGATGCGAACTGCGGTCCACTGTGGGAGTCCAGTGACATAGCCATTACGCTAACTGCTGGTTCCCTCTAAAGAGTTTTTAAAATGAATTTTGCAACCTATAAATCATAGCGAGCTTAAAACATGTGAGTCACATTATGTCCATCACCTGCTAAAATCCCTTTGATGATTCCCGCTTCACTCAGTATAGCAGCCAAGTTTTTCCTATGGCCTACAGACTCTCGATGACGGACACCACATCACTGTCCCCAGTCTCATCTCTTCCTTCTCTGCTCCTTACTTTTTTTCTGCCACTTTCCTTTCTGCTGTTTCTTCAATGCACCAAGCAGAGTCCTAAAACCTGCTCTTCCCACTGGAGGCATCTCTTCTCCCCACATATCTGAATAGTTCCCTCTCACTGCATTCAGACCTCTGCTCCCTTCTGTCTTTATCAGAGAGCCCCTCTCTCAGCAATGTATCTGAAACAGTCCCCCACAGTTCTCTATTTGCCTGGCTCTGTTTTTCTTCTTAGTATCGATTGCAATTAACATACACATTAAAATCTCTCCTTTGTGTTTGCTTCCACTAGAAGGAAAGTTCTAGGAAGGTAGGAACTTTCCTCATAGAAAAGAATACTTGAATTAATGAATACATAATCATCTTTCTATTTCATTCAGTTAAACAGGAAACTTTCCCAGAGAAACAACCCTACACAGGCAAGCAATAATAAAAGTTCTTGATTTCTTCAAATGTCAGTGTAATCCTAAGTGAAGTAATGGTATCAACAGCATTCTTTAGAAAATTATAAGTTGATGAAGACATCAAATATGGTGGTGTGCTGATGTTGTGTGCAAATGGTTTGTATCCCACAACCTGTAAGGTGGTATATGGTAGTTGGTGTACATCTTGCCAAGAAACACAGATTTTGCTCTGTTACTAAGGTTTCATGAGCTACTGGATGGTAATGTAGGTTCATAAAATACGTGAGTTGGACTAAGGTTTTTTTCTACCTATTATGACTATAGTGATCTATGAGATCTTTATCTCTTTCTTCTGGATATTGCTTCCAGACATGCAAAATTAAACAACTGTATTAAATTTAAGGTCAATATCCATATAATATTCGGATAACAAAAACACTCACTACTACGTTTAGCTTCAATTTATTTGTCTTAATGTTTAGTTCAGTGATACTCATACAAACTAGATATTTGGAGATATTTATTATCAGAAAACTTTCTATGAAAGTATCACCCAAAAAGGGCCATAAACACTGCAAGAATCACTGCAGACAACTTACAAACTCAATTACGTGGGCATATCATTTTAAATACAGCCTTTTGCAGGAATTTTACCTAATTTAGCTAACAGCAGAGACGAGAGTATGCGCACTGCATCAAGATATAGTTGAAATTATCTTTCCTTTAAGCTGGAGGGTATTGGTCCCTTAACAGACATGCCAATAAAATTTTGTCTAATCTCCGGACCAGCAGGTGGCATAATGGCTATGTCGCTGGACTCCCATGTAATCAACCGTGGTTCAAGTCCCTGACTGGTGGCTTAAACTCATGCTGGGTACCTGTGTGTGTGTGCCCAAGAGGAGAATGGAGAATAAGGGATGACAGCACGGCTATCCCCCTGGAGGGGGGGGTGATTTCTCGCTTTCTGTCTCTCTGTCTCTGTCTTTCTGGTGAGGGCACATGCCCTATAGCAAAAACCTCTCAAAAAAAAATTGTCTAATCCTTAATATCAATGCTATAAAATATAATAGCAAAATCCTTGAAGTGTCCCTGGTAGAAATGTAAGCTTAGCTCCCTTTTGAACAAGTCACTTTACTCGAAGAGATCTCATTGGATGGAAAAACAAAAACATTCCTCAATCCGTACAATAAAAACTGGAAAATGCATAGGTTGCTGCTCACTGGAGATCTGGATATAGAGCAGCTAAGATAAACTCCAGGGGAGAGGCCACATTGTGTGGACAACAGAAAAGGAGGGGTTGACAAGTCTCCTGTAAATATCTAAGTAATAGTAGCAGGAGTTGTGGTCCCTGCTTCAGACAGTAGAGAGGCATCGCAGAAGCAGGATATGAACACAAAGCCATCAGCCACACTCACGGCAATATTAAGAGAAGGTGGCCCCAGCTTCCTGAGGAGTGTGGCAAACACCAAACTGTCCACAATGACTGCCAAATGCTTCTGGAAGACCATGTGATATTTGGGATCTTTCTGTTTATATGAAAATTGTCTACTTTAATTAAACCTCATTTATACATGGTAGCTAACATGCAGTAATTCAAATCAGTGTTAGCAGACAGAAAAACTCCGAAGAATACTGAGAGTGATTAGAGCTGGATCTGAGCACAGAGCACTGCACATGACCAGGAAGAAACTTGATTTCATGACCCAAGCACTCTTCCACTACAATGACATAAACATTAGCATTTAATATGTTTTAGATATTTGATTCTGGGACGGTCATTGAAAAGTCTTCATTTCAAAACAGTTTAAATAATGTAAGGATTAAGAGAAATCAGGGTACCGATGTATTGTATGAGGTAAGGGATTTTCTTGTATTATCAGAAGTTTCTTAAAATTATTTTTTCATCTTAAAGGACCCTCAAATGCTAGACTTCTTACATAAGGATGTTAGCCATGATTTGCAAAATTGAGAACATTGCAAGTCAGTACACACACACAAAAATAGGCAAGTGGCAAATGATTTAAAAACTATAGACTTGATGGTCCCCCCTAAAAAAATCAGCAAATGATTATGCAAATGTCCTGACCTGCCGCGTCTCCCAGCTCAATTTCTCCCACTCCTGATGTCCTCGATACTATTTATTTCTTGCGATGCTAAAAAAAGAAAAAGTAAAAAGAATAAAAATAAGAGTGTTAAATGAGAAATCAAAGTAATTTCAAAATACTCAGGTTAAAAATTAAACATCATAAAAAGAGGTACACAACATTTCTACTATAAAAATATGAAAGAAGGATTATTTTTCCTAAAAAAATATAATTTTTTTCTAGACCAGATTCACTGCTATACAACAATGTCGAACTTATAGGACCCTGTAAGTTAATGGCTGGTGGGTAAATCATCAATAAACAACGAAAAGGCAAACTTTTATTAGAGGTATTTTAAGATATAGCAACACTGAAATGTAAAAATGTGAACCAATTATTTTGGAGCTATATCAATTAAGTCACTTGTGTAAGTCTTTACGTAATTCAGTCACGTAAGCATGTGTGCGTATGTATACCCTCTCATACGTATGCATAGATGTCTATGACAATCTTGGGCCTAGCTTTATTGAGACAGGCAATTACAACCATTTTTACAGTCTATGATGCTCAACATAAACTATACGCATAACACTACATTACTCATAGCTACAATAACTTATGGAAAATATTACAATTTGCACTAAAACTTATTAAATACATATTTACTAGCAATTAGCAAAGCATAATATTATGTTGTGCTAGGATACCAAGCTGTATAAGAACAAATAGCTTACGAACTTGAGCATTTCTAGCTTAAAAACAACAGCAAAAAGATCAAAACAGAAATAGAAGCACCCTGTGTATACTCAGTCACTTCATCAGAACCAGATTCAAGTCATGACAAAAAATAAGCCCAAAGGCTTATTTTCCCAATATGTAAAATGGTCTTATAAGTTTGTCATGAATACAAACTTTCAAAAACTCTTCTAATACATATGTAACTATTTTATCATCATTTTAACATTTATTTGTGAATGTAGTAGGTCATCTGGAAAGTCATGACGTATTTTTCTATGTTTTTCTATACAAAAAGGCATCGTGACTCTCCCCACAACCCAACAGAATAGGTGAAATTCATTAGCTGCTCTCTACTTTTCAAACTGGAGTCCCCACAATGACTGAATTCTACTCATATGGCATCAGAGTGTTTAAGAGTTTATTAATGGTATTTAGGATCATGCAACAGACATTAAAATTGGATAAATAGTAATTATAAACACTTTTTGTCCTATGAGGGTCCTGGATTATCAACCAGATTATGTGTTCAGGATTTTAAAAATAAGACTTCAAAATGATATTTTTAGGAACAGAGTGTCTCTTCTGGGCTATTGGTCTAGCATACTGGATCTGAAGACTTAGGAGATAATCTAGGACTAGTTGACTTAAACAAATTGTTATTACTTCATCTAAAATATTTTTCAATTTCAAAAGGCTCTTTTTTTAAAAGTTATTTTTTTAAAAAATTATTTTATACATTCAATCACTGTACATCACCACAGCTTGTAAAATGAATTTTCCCAGCATCAATACATTGTACACTAGTGCAGTTAAAGATATTATCATACATGTCATCATCCACAGACAGTTCTCCATTTCTGTGTCCCTTGTATGTCTTACCTCTCTATTTTTTTTAATAATTTAGGGTAATTTCTGGAGTATTTAATTTTTTTTAATATATAAATACAGTAACAAGAACGATAAACCATAACAAAGTGGGATTTACCCTAAGAATGTAAAGCTGGTTTAACATTTAAATATCAAATAATGTAATACTACATTAATAAAGAAAAAAAAATCATACGGTCATTGCAACAGATGCTGAAAAGAATGTGACAAAATCCAATACCTTTTCATTATAAAACACTCAACAAACTAGCCAGAGAAAGGGACTTCCTCAACCTACTAAAAATCATGTATGAAAACTCCAGCTATAATATTTAATTATGAAAGACTGACTGACTACTTTCCCCCTGATTGGGAACAAAATGACATTGGTTCACACCTTTTTTGTCTGTTTGCTTATCTGTTTATTTCTTGTGAGAGAGAATAAGAGAGAGCACAACTCTAACAGGATCATGATGATGCAATCCACCCCCAGTCCCAGCAAAGTTGGATGGTGGGCACACACCTACCCAGCATACTCAAGGAGGTCTCTGGACACAAACTCAGAACCTTCCCACGTGGATCAGCATAGCTGTGATGCTGAAGGGCAACACATTTCACGGCTCTGTCACTATCTGGCCTCCCCAAACCACTTATATTAAAGACTGCACTGGAGGCTGCAGCCAGGTTCATCGGGAAATAAAAAGAAATAAAAGGCATCCAGATTGGCAGAAAGAAGCAAAACACTATTTGGAGAAAACTCTGTTTGTTTGTTTGTTTAGTTTGCCAGAGGGCATGTATGCCTGCTGGAGAGAGAGAAAACACTCCCCATGGGAGTCCATCACACTGCAATCCTTCCTTCACCTTTTTCTCTGATCCTTCAGGATTTGGAATACCCACATGCACTTGGCATGTTTTTCAAGCTGCTAGTCCAGGACACCAACCGTGTAGTCACCTGTGTGGGATCCAGCTTCCTTAACCATACCACAGCTGACTGGCCCTATTTTTATTTAGAAAATCTTAAAGAATTTTTTTTTAAAATAAAAACTAATGAATAAGGAGAAAAAAGGATGGTATAGCAAAACTGTGAGAATAACCCAGGTGGGAAGGTTTCAGGTTTGAGTCCAGAGAGCAACTTCAACATACTGTGCACATGCCCCTGATCCAGGGCTGGTGAATCAGGCTGTGGGCTACAGTGACAGGACCCTTTGGGAGTGCTTCAGCTCTCTCTCTCTTGTTCATGGAAGAAATGTGGATAAACTGTGAAAAGAACTAATGAACAAGTTCAGTAAGATTGCAGAGATTCTTGAGTTTTATAAATATACAAAAATTAATTTTATGTGCTAGTAATGAACATTCTGAAAATTAACTTTTAAAAAATTCCATTTATAATAGCATGGAAAAGATAAACTACTTGGGTATAAGTTTAATGATAGAAATAGAAGACTTAATTGCACATTTTGAACTACAAATATAGTTGAAAAACATTAAAGATATATAAAAAGATGAAAAACATCCCACACTCATGGATCAGAAAAATTCTTGAGGGACCAGCAGTTGACATAATGGCTATATCGATGGACTCCCATGTAGTCGACCTTGGTTCAAGTCCTGGACCCAGTGGCTTAAACTCACGCCGGGAGCATGTGCATGCGTGCCCAAGATCCTGAGAGGAGAATGGAGGAGAAAGGGATTACAGCATGGACATCCCCCCTGGGGTGTGATTTCTCACTTTCTGTTTCTCTCTGTCTTTCTTGCGAGAGCACGTGCCCTATAGCAAAAACGTCTCCAAAAAAGGAAAGAAAAGAAATATTCTTGAAATGGGGACCAGCAGATGGCATAATGGTTACATCACCGGACTTCCACGTAGTTGACTGTGGTCCAAGTTATGGACCCAATAGCTTGAAACTCACACTGGGTGCATGTGTGTGAGTGTCCAAGATCCTGAGTAGAAAATGGGGTATAAGGGATTCGCATGGCCATTCCCTCAGGGGATGATTTCTAACTTTCCGTCTCTATCTGTCTCTCTCTCCAGTGAGCACATGTGGCCTGTAGCAAAAAATCTCTCTAAAAAAAAATTCTTAAAATGAAGTACTCCTCAGTTTATCTACAGACTCAACACAGTCTATACATCCTGAAATTTCCATGGAAATGCAAGGGATCCAGACTAGCTTAAATAATATTGAAAAAAATTGGGGAATGCAATCTCACAAACTTCAAAATTAATGACAAAGGAACAGTAATCAAGACAGAGTAGTACTGGCACAAGGATACTCTTAGAATCTAATAGCATTGACTGAGAATACAGAAAGACACCCATCCATCTGTAGTAGGTAGACTTTTGACTAGGTTGTCAAGACAAAGCAATGGTAGAAAGAATGAAAGAATAGTTGTGGTATGATTAAAAAAAACAAAACAAAACAAACAAACAAACAAAAACTGACCTTTGTCCCTAATTCCTGGCATAGAGATTTAAAAATTCACTGAGTGAAAAGGTGTGCTTTTATGATGCTAATAAGGTGACCTCAGAGTCTGGCCACTACATAGCTGCAAGATAAGGGAGATTGTCAGAAGAAATCAACCAAGTGGGTAGAGGGCTGAACTTCCACTCTCAGAAAAAGAGTATTGGAGATTGAGCTCAATCGCATGGCCAATGAATCAATCATATGGCAATGAACTCCTGATCAAAAACGTGAACACTGACACTTGAATTGTTTCCTAGATGTAGAACTTACTGATGTAGCAACTCCACAATGAAACATCACTTTCCAGTGTGCCTGTACACTGACAGTGTACATAAAATAGATGAGAACAAGTGTTGGCAAGCACAGTGAAGTTGGGACCCTCATATGTTGCTGGTTGGGAACCTGAAATGTCGCAGTTGCTTTGGTAAGTAGTATGTAGTTCTTAACATGTTACATATAGGGTCACCAATATTACCATTCAATTCTACTCTTAAGTACATACTCAAGAGAAATGAAAACATATTTCCACCCAAAAATTTGTACAGAAGCATTAATAAGCAGTATTCCTGATAGTCAAAGAGTGATTAATGGGTAAATAATATTTGAAATAGCTATACAATGAAATATTATTCAGTGAGGCTCAGCCATGATGGCATAGCATTAACAACAATGCTGGAAACCATATGGAGATCAGGGCTCAATTCCCAGGTCAACCTGTACATGTCAGGTACATACACATGCCCATGATCCTGGTTGGCTAGAAAAACTGGGAATTAATACTGTTAAAGGTACTTATCTTGCCCTCTTTCTTTCTCTTAATCTTTCTCTGTCTCATCTGCCTTTCTCTCATGAGAGAAATAAACTAAAAAATAAATAAATAAAAAGAAGGTAGTGTATAACATTCATGAACCTTGACAACATTGTATTAAGTAAAAGAAATTAGCAAGAAAAGACCATATACTGTACGAATCCATTTATAAGAAAGATCTAGAATAGGCAAAT